CATCTCTATGCAGATGACACACAACTCTACTACTCTTTTCCACCTAACTCCAATGAAGCCCCTCGAGTGCTAGACGAGTGCCTGACCGCTGTGGCGGTCTGGATGAGGACGAACAAGCTGAAGATTAATCCTGACAAGACAGAGGTCCTCCTAGTCGATTGTAAACAAGACTGGGGTATAGGATGGCAACCTGTGCTGGGTGGGGTTGCACTCCCCCTGAAGTCACAGGTCCACAGTTTGGGAGTCCTCCTGGATTCTTCACTTACGTTTGAGGCTCAGGCGTAGGTGGTGGGCGGGAGGGCCTTTGCACAATTAAGACTCATGCGCCAACTGCGACCGTACCTCGGGAAGGCGGAACTGGCCAAAGTGGTCCATGCCTTAGTCACCTCTAGACTGGATTACTGCAATGCACTCTACGTGGAGCTGCCCTTGAAAACGGCCCGGAAATTTCAGATGATCCAACGGGCGGCAGCCAGGTTGTTAACTGGGGCTCCTTACAGGGAGTGGTCAACCCTCCTGTTCAAGGGGCCCCACTGGCTGCCATTCATTTACTGGACCCAATTCAAGGTGCAGATTCTTACCTACAAAGCCCTGAATGGTTTGGGACCCTCCTACCTGTGTGACCGCATCTCTGTATACGAACCCACACAATCCCTTCGATCATCCGGAGAGGCCCTGCTCTCGATCCCACCAGCATCGCAGGCGTGATTGGTGGGGACGAGAGAGAGAGGTGGTGGTCCCTCGACTCTGGAACTCACTCCCTAAAGACATCAGACAGGCCCAAACTTTGGCAGTCTTCAGGAGGAGCTTGAAGACGTGGTTGTTCCAGTGTGCCTTCCCGGAATAATAATCCCATAGCACTTTGTCCTCCAAAAGCACTTTATATTTTTTTAGGTCTGCTCGTATGCCCTTCCACAAACACCATCACCTTTTCGTCCATGTCCCAGCATTACTTCCAATTTTAACTTTACATTTGGCCTTCCCACTGTTTTTAATTGTGTGTTGTCTTATTGATAATGTTGTATTTTTTATTGTCAATTTTTTTAATTGCTTGTATTGTTATTATTGCTTGTATTGTTTTATTCGGGCTCAGCCTCATGTAAGCCGCACCAAGTCCCTTGGGGAGATTGTAGCGGGGTACAAATAAAGTATTATTATTATTGTTGTTATTATTATTATTATTATTATTATTATTATTACTGGGACTGAACCTAGCAAGTTGATAAACTTGGAAGTTGGGCTGAAACAACCCAGTGAATGCCACGATTCATTGGGAACAAGAAGCAATGTCTCCCATGTCCTAAACCAACACCCTAAACACTGTATCACATCGCCTTTGTCGCCAGTCCACATTCACATCCATATACGAGGATTTTTTCCCCCTCCATTCCTTTCCAATGTGTCGCTCTCAGTACAGAACATTTTGAGTACAAAAGAATGCAAGGGCAGAGCATTTACGCCTGGTAGGAGAAGGCCGTTCACAGATGCGAACAGCAGGTTATTACTTTCATTTTCCACATGCTTTGGAAAAGGTTTTGATTTCAACTCTTATGTTTTTTAAAATAATTTTGGAGTAAAATGGGGAGACAAATGAAAACTGCTGCATATTAGTACTGTTTTGCAATGCTTTCACAAGTTCCAGACATTTTTGCCTGCTTTTAAATTTGAGTCTGGAGAACCAAAGGTTACACATGGGCGGAACTTTCCCCATGCCTGTATTATACCAATAAAATAATTTTGTTTACACTCATTGCATTGCTCTTGAATAACATTATGCATTCATTAATAGCAACTGCCATCACCAGAAAGGAATGCACAGCAGGTAAACCAGCAGTGGAACTCTCTGCCTCGCTGTGTGGTGGAAGCTTTTAAGCAGAGACTGGATGGCCATCTGTCAAGGATACTTTGACTGGTTAGACCACACCTGGAATATTGTGTCCAATTCTGGGCACCACAATTCAAGAAAGATATTGACAAGCTGGAATGTGTCCAGAGGAGGGCGACTAAAATGATCAAGGGTCTGGAGAACAAGCCCTATGAGGAGCGGCTTAAGGAGCTGGGCATGTTTAGCCTGAAGAAGAGAAGGCTGAGAGGGGATATGATAGCCATGTATAAATATGTGAGAGGAAGTCATAGGGAGGAGGGAGCAAGCTTGTTTTCTGCTTCCCTGGAGACTAAGACGCGGAACAATGGCTTCAAACTACAGGAGAGTTGATTCCATCTGAACATGAGGAAGAACTTCCTGTGAGAGCCGTTCAGCAGTGGAACTCTCTGCCTCGGAGTGTGGTGGAGGCTCCTTCTTTGGAAGCTTTCAAACAGAGGCTGGATGACCATCTGTCAGGGGTGATTTGAATGCAATATTCCTGCTTCTTGGCAGGGAGTTGGACTGGATGGCCCATGAGGTCTCTTCCAACTCTTTGATTCTATGATTCTATGATTGTGCTTTTCCTGCATGGCAGGGGGTTGGATTAGATGGCAAATGTGGTCTCTTCCAACTCTATTATTCTATGATTCTATCAAACTATGAATTGCTCCAGTGTGAACAGAAACGGAGCAATTTCAAGTCTTCATTTTATTGAGAAAAGAGAAAAGATACAATGTAGACGTCCAGCATGAACATCATTTCCCCCAGAAGCCAAACCTTTGGATGCCAATTTCCAGAATCCAGTAATGTTGCCAATGTGACAATTAGAGAAAGCAGTGTTTCCTAAATGGTTGTTGTACTAAATGGATTTTCAGCAGGGTGTTGCCGGTTATTTGGTTGGATGATAAGCAGCCCTGGTTAAAATTCTCTCTCCTATACAAATCCTCAATATCAAGGACCTTCCTTCAGTTTTGGGCCAGTTTTGCCTGCCATTGCCATTTCCACATTTAGGCATTCAAAAAGGCCAGAAGTGGTACTGTAGTGAAAAAAACATAAGGGATTGGTGCTTTTTAAAAGGTTCTGCTGGGATGGACCTCAGACACTCTACTCAGACACCCTTGGACACTCTACTCAGACACTGAATAATAATAATAATAATAATAATAATAATAATAATAATAATAATAATAATAATAATACAAGAAAACTGCACTCCAAACCAGAGCTGATAGCTGACACAACAAAGCATTGCATGGGCAGTTCCTTGACAAAATTGAAGGAAAAGTTGATAAGGAGGAGACTTGGTGATGGCTCATGAATGGAACCCCGAAGAAGGAGACAGAAGGCCTGATTCTTGCAGCCCAGGAGCAAGCCATCAGAACCAATGCCATTAAGGCCAGGATTGAAAAATCAGCGGATGACCCAAAATGCAGACTGTGCAAGGAAGCTGATGAAACCATGGATCATATCCTCAGCTGTTGCAAGAAAATCACACAGACAGACTACAAACAGAGGCACAACTCTGTGGCCCAGATGATTCACTGGAACTTATGCCACAAGTACCACCTGCCAGCAGCAAAGAATTGGTGGGATCATAAACCCGCAAAGGTCATGGAAAATGAACATGCAAAAATACTGTGGGACTTTTGAATCCAGACTGACAAAGTTTTGGAACACAACACGCCAGACATCACGATTGTGGAAAAGGAAAAAGTCTGGATTATTGATGTTGCCATACCAGGTGACAGTCGCATTGAGGAAAAACAACAGCCACTATCAAGACCTCACAATCGAACTCCAAAGGCATAAACCAGTATAGGTGGTCCCAGTGGTCATTAGCGCACTGGGTGCCGTGCCAAAAGATCTCAGCCGGCATTTCGAAACAATAAACATCGACAAAATCACAATCTGTCAACTGCAAAAGGCCACCTTACTTGGATCTGTGCGCATCATTCGAAAATATATCACACAGTCCTAGACGCTTGGGAAGTGTTCGACTTAGGCTTGGGCGGTTTCGTTCGTTAATTTCGTAATCTGTTATTAATTCGTATTTAAATTAGCTTACGATCCAATATTGAGCCATGCAGGAATAGTGTGAGGAGTAATTAAGATTCAAAACAATTTTTTCAATTTATTTCGTAATTATTTCGTAATTATTTCGAAATTATTTCGTCATTATTTTCGCATGTCTGGTGCAAGTTTTATAGTTGTTGTTTGTTTTATCACACCAACAGTCAACAACAGAGGGAGAGGGAAGCTTCAGAAGTTCCTCCTGTCCCATTTGGAGGTTTTTTTAGCATATTGCACAATCTCGTCCGCCATTAACGAATCGATTCGTAATTTTACGAAATTTCGTAAATTTCGAAATTTTTTAAAGGAAAATTTCGGAATTATTAAAAAAAACGAAACGCAAGGGCCCCCTAAAAACAAAACGAGTTTAGAACCAAATTTTTCCGTGGTTACCCAAGCCTAGTTCGACTTGTGATTTTGTGATACAAAATCCAGCATATAGATCTCGTTTTCTGTGACATACTGTGCTTTTGTGTCAATAATAATAATAATAATAATAATAATATTTATTTATACTCCGCCACCATCTCCCCCAACGGGGATTTGGGGTGGCTTACATGAGCCAAGCCCAGTAGTGCATTACAATACAATAACATAAAAAGCATAAAATAATATCACAATAAAATGCAAGAAGCATAAAATACAATAAACAGTGCAAAGTAATACAATAAGCCAGCCCATGTTTTTCAAGTTGCCTTTTTGGCTAGGGTTTCTACTGTAAAATTACATTTGGTCATTAAAGCACACATTGCTTCAGCTTTCATAAGCATACATATTGCCATATAGGAAACTGCCAAAACCAAGATGTTTCTACATGTTACAAACCTAGCAACAAGGATATGCTTGTATATCCTTTCTGACATGCAAGTGATATCACTGTGGGAAATTAATCACATGTAAAAAATCACACAGACTCAGACACCCTTTCTGACATTTGGTGCCATCTTTCATTTGGAGCTATTGGAATAAGACAGTTTCTGGACTGTACCAGTCAGGTTGACCACAAATTTAAGAGTTTCCAAAACTGCCCCTTTCAATGGATTACAATCAAATATTTTGGACTCACCCAAAGGCAGGCAGAAAGTAAGAAGGCAAGCTATGTTGAGTAGCAGGACAGCTGTCATCTTTAATGGAGTAAGGCAGCGAAGTGAAGACAGTGGAGATTTCCCAGCTAGTGATGTAAGTGAAAGCGGCACTGAGCAGCATTACTCTTGTGGAAATTAGGCTCAGGAAATAAGCATTTCCTTTGCCCCACCCTCCATCTGACTCATCCAAGGACCTGTTGATTTTGAATTTTCGGCCTCACCCAAGCAATACCCCCCTACAAAAAGAGAGAGAGAGGTGTGAGGGGAAATAACACTCCGAGGAGAATCTATGCCAGGTTTAGCTGGCTTAGATTATTTGCTTTCCTTCAAATTCAAAGTTTAGTAAACCGTCTATAAATATGTAAGCAGTTCAGTTTGATTTTGAACACATTTGAAGATTGTTTCGATCTCTGGAATTAACAGCTACAATCCTTAGTACTTTGAAGACTTATGTAATTTTTTTTATTAAAAAAACCTAACCTTTTTAGGAAGCAAACAAGTTGGATGTTTATTTATAGTTCTGCATCCATGGATTGGGGCTGTGAGGGCAACCACTTCGGCTCTAGACCCTTGCCCATCCTGGCTCATTAAATCTGCCAAGGAGGGGTTGGTTGATTGGTTTGTGTTGATCATTAACGCATCGTTGGAGCAAGGGATTTTTCCATCTAACTTGAAACAGGCTGTGGTTCGCCCACTCCTAAAAAAGTCGTCCCTTGACTCTATGGTGCTGAACAATTACAGACCGATTTCCAACCTTCCTTTTTTGGGTAAGGTGCTGGAGCGGGTGGTCGCCCTCCAGCTCCAGGGCTTCCTGGATGACATCAATTACCTGGATCGGGCACAGTCTGGTTTCAGGCCTGGTCATGGCACCGAGACAGCCTTGGTCGCCTTGGTGGATGACCTCCGTAGAGGACTGGACAGGGGGAGTGTAACCCTGCTGGTCCTCTTGGACATCTCAGCGGCTTTCGATACCATCGATCATGGTATCCTTCTGGGTCGGCTCTCTAGGATGGGTCTTGGGGGCACGGTTCTGTCGTGGCTCCGGTCCTTCCTGGACTCTACTACACAACTCTACTACTCTTTTCCACCTAATTCCAAGGAGGCCTCTCGGGTGCTAGACGAGTGCCTGGCCGCTGTGTCCATCTGGATGAGGACGAACAAGCTGAAGATCAATCCCGACAAGACAGAGGTCCTCCTGGTCGATCGTAAACCAGACCGGGGTATAGGGTGGCAACCTGTGTTGGACGGGGTTACACTCCCCCTGAAGCCACAGGTCCGCAGCTTGGGAGTCCTCCTGGACTCATCGCTCACGCTTGAGGCTCAGGCGTCGGCGGTGGCCGGGAGGGCTTTTGCACAACTGAGACTTGTGCGCCAGCTGCGCCCGTACCTCGCTAAGGCTGATCTGGCTGGGGTGGTCCATGCCTTAGTCACCTCTAGACTGGATTACTGCAATGCGCTCTACGTGGGGCTGCCCTTGAAAACGGCTCGGAAATTCCAATTGGTCCAACGGGCAGCAGCCAGTGTAACGGGGGCCCATTACAGAGAGAGGTCAACCCTTCTGTTTAAGGAGCTCCACTGGCTGCCGTTTATTTTCCGAGCCCAATTTAAGGTGCAGGTGCTTACCTACAAAGCCCTGAACGGTTTGGGACCACCCTACCTGCGTGACCGCATCACAGTCTACGAACCCACATGTTCACTCCGGTCATCAGGAGAGGTCCTGCTCGTGATCCCGCCCACGTCGCAGGCGCGTCTGATGGGGACGCAGGACAGGGCCTTCTCTGTGGTGGCCCCCCGCCTCTGGAATGCCCTCCCGAAAGATCTCAGACAGGCCCCTACCTTGGCGGTTTTCAGAAAGAACCTGAAAACCTGGCTGTTCCAACGTGCCTTCTCAGATTAGGAACCCCACTACCAAAGCCCAGAAGCACTTTAGTAGAGTCAAGATCACCCTCACCGCACACTGCACCTATATTTTAATCCCATATCCCTCTGACACTTCAGCACTTTTTAATCCTGTACCCTACTCCGGCCGGCTCAGTTTTTAATAATGTCCTGTTGTATTGCTATTGCTGTTGTTTTCTGCTTTAACTGTTTTTATTTGCGATGTATTGTATTGTTGTATTGTGTTGGGCTCCGGCCTGTTGTAAGCCGCATCGAATCCCTTGGGAGATGCTAGCGGGGTACAAATAAAGTAATAATAATAATAATAATAATAATAATAATAATAATAATAATAATAATTCAATTGACCATGGCTTGTGAAAAACATTAAATTCCAAAAAAGCAATGTTGATTTTTCAACACACCAGGCAGTACATTGATAAGTAATCATATGAGGCGGCAAAAAAAGCCAATGGGATTTTGGCCTGCATCCATAGGAGCATAGTGTCTAGATCTAGGGAAGTTTTAAATGTGTCATGATGTTATTGTTTTAATGTTTTATTGTAATTGCTTTAATGTTTATTGATCTGCTTTATGAGTTTTATTGTTGTATTTGTTCTGTTGTTGTTTTATTAAGGGCCTTGGCCTTTGTAAGCCGCACCGAGTCCTTCGGGAGATGTTAGCGGGGTATAAATAAAGTTAATAAATAAATAAATAAATAAATAAATAAATAAATAATAAGTCATGCTACCCCTCTATTCCGCCTTGGTTAGACCACACCTGGAATATTGTGTCCAATTCTGGGCACCACAATTGAAGAGAGATATTGACAAGCTGGAATGTGTCCAGAGGAGGGCGACTAAAATGATCAAGGGTCTGGAGAACAAGCCCTATGAAGAGCGGCTTAAGGAGCTGGGCATGTTTAGCCTGAAGAAGAGAAGACTGAGAGGAGACATGATAAAAGGTAAAGGTAAAGGTTCCCCTGACATTAAGTTCCAGTCATGTCTGATTCTGGAGTGTGGTGCTCATCTCCATTTCTAAGCCGAAGAGCCAGCGTTGTCCGTAGAGACCTCCAAGGTCATGTGGCCGGCATGACTGCATGGAGCGCCGTTACCTTCCCGCCGGAGTGGTACCTATTGATCTACTCACATTTGCATGTTTTCGAACTGCTAGGTTGGCAGAAGCTAGGGCTGACAGCGGAAGCTCAGCCGCTCCCCGGAATCGAACCTGCGACCTTTCGATCAACAAGCTCAGCAGCTCAGTGCTTTAACCCACTGCGCCACCGGGGGCTCCGGAGACATGATAGCCATGTATAAATATGTGAGAGGAAGCCACAGGGAGGAGGGAGCAAGCTTGTTTTCTGCTTCCTTGGAGACTAGGATGCGGAACCATGGCTTCAAACTACAAGAAAGGAGATTCCATCTGAACATGAGGAAGAACTTCCTGACTGTGAGAGCCGTTCAGCAGTGGAACTCTCTGCCCCGGAGTGTGGTGGAGGCTCCTTCTTTGGAAGCTTTTAAACAGAGGCTGGATGGCCATCTGTCAGGGGTGATTTGAATACAATACTCCTGCTTCTTGGCAGGGGGTTGGACTGTTAATGAGTTGGGAACCAATCAGAGATTGCTATGTGTAAATTAATTGTATATAAGGAAATCATGTACAGTGTATATTTCTCCTTGTGCTGTGATGTTGTTCGTCGAAGGCTACATGTAATTAAAAGAACCTGTCTGCTAAGACAAGATATAACTGTATGCTGTGGTAAGTTTGTAATATCATCTAGACTGGGGGAAAGACAATGGCAAAACTGACAATGGCCAGGCATGTGCTCAAGTGTCTGTAAAAGGTTCCGGAGTGACTGCAGGCTGTGGGAGCAGTTGATTGAAAATACTGTGCAGGAAGAAGCTACTGGAAAGCGCTGAAGTTGTGCAACTGATTTGCTGCTGAATTGTGAAGTTAATCTCAACAATTCTGAACTCCACCAACGATAGAATTGAATCAAACTTGGCACACAGAACTCCCATGACCAAGAGAAAATACTGGAAGGGTTTGGTGGGCATTGACCTTGAGTTTTGGGAGTTGTAGTTCAGCTACATCCAGAGAGCACTGTGGACTCAAACAATGATGAATCTGGACCAAACCTGGCACAAATTCGCAATATGCCCAAATGTAAACACGAGTGGGGTTTGGGGAAAATAGATCTTGACATTTGGGAGTTGTAGTAGCTGGGATTTATAGTTCACCTACAATCAAAGAGCATTCTGAACCCTGCCAATGATTGAATTGGGCCAAACTTCCCACACAGAACCTCCACGACCAACAGAAAATACTGTGTTTTCTTGTGGTCTTTGGTGACCCCTCTGACACCCCCTCACAACCCCTCCAGGGGTCCTGACCCCCAGGCTGAGAAACACTGTTCTAGAGGCATTCTCTCCTGACGTTTCGCCTGCATCTATGGCAAGCATCCTCAGAGGTAGTGAGGATGCTTGCTATAGATGCAGGCGAAACGTCAGGAAAGAATACCTCTAGAACATGGCCATATAGCCCGAAAAAACCTACAACAACCCAGTGATTCCAGCCATGAAAGCCTTCAACAATATATTCAATCTTCAAAAGTGAGATCTGTGAATGTGTAAACTGTAAATGCAGAATGGTTTTTCTTCACTTCTGAAGATACATCCCTTCTATTCCTCTAATTTCAGTGTGGTTCAACATTGCTGCATAGTTATTGAGAAACACCCGGGAAAAAGAAAGAAAGAAAAAAGAAAGTTAGACTACTTGTAGTGGCATGACCGGCGCACGTCGTTTCCGTACAGTCATCATTTATGCTCACACTGCAAAATTAAATTTCTTCCATGTGGAAGTGGTTTTGCAGAGACAACCTTTAGGACAATGACTGAGTCAGGTCAGAAAGTCAGGACTTCCAGTCCAAAGGTCACAGGTTCTAGACAACTGTAAGCCCACTTCATTTAATCTGTTCATTTACTTAATCCTTAACACATTTTAATCTATGTACCAGTAAAGTAGAAGCCCCCAGTGGCACAGTGGGTTAAAGTGCTGAGATGCTAAGCTTGTTGACCAGGGAGCGGCATGAGCTTCCGCTGTCAGCCCCAGCTTCTGCCAACCTAGCAGTTTGAAAACATGCAAATGTGAATAGATCAATAGGTAATGCTACGGCAGGAAGGTAACGGCGCTCCATGCAGTCATGCCAGCCACATGACCTTGGAGGTGTCTATGG